TTCTCCACCCTTTGTGCCTTGTCGTCTCCCTCCTTATCTCTTTCGAGACTACCTCGTTGTTTTTGTTTGAAGTGGGATGCAAATTACTGGGACTTCCCAATCCTAGTACTTGTTGAGGGTCTAGTGTCTTTCTATGCTTTTGCCGGCTCACCGATACTAAAANAGTACCCCAAGTTTGTGCCAGGCGATCTGCATGGTAACCAACCCAAGCGTCCCACGACCGTATCTTCTCTCTACTTGCCCCATCTGCTGTACTGGGTACTTTCCTCCGGGGAGGTCATTTTCCCCATGTAGGGTTCAAGGGTGGCTTGCATAACAGAAGGTCTCACTCACACATCGGGATGTCCGTCACTTCCTTGATTTTTATGACATACAAACATTGAAATCTCCTCCTCGTAGACGCCAGATAGCACTATCTTCCCTGACGGCGGTCTAAGTCGACCCAGGGTTGATAAATGAGTTACGGTCATCAACGTTTGTACGGTACACACCATGGGTAGCTACCCCACTAACGCTCCCGAGTAGACCTTCGCTGCCGAAAGCTTGACCAACAATCCCCCCACACTTTGTACCGGCGTCTATCCTTCAAGCTTCAAGATATCTACGTACCGCTTGGTGCTCCTTCTCGTTTGGGTCATTTGGTCGGTCATTTGAAAGCAAGGTTCTTGAGTATATTAGGTCTGACATTTTGTCTTGCATTATCCACCCCTCTCCTTGGGGAGAATTCAGGATAGTGTCTGACCAGGATCCCACCGCCCCATGGGAACCGGTAATGTTTTACGGTTATCTCACCACGAGTCCCCAACCTTCATGTGCATCGCACAGTTGACCAAAAGGATTGCTGTGTCTATATTGATGCTTCGTTTCCGTTTTTGTGTTGGTGTGTAAGGTGGCCAATAACCTTCTACTCTTGCTTACTTTTGCGTTTTCAACTGTGAAAAAAAAAAAAATGGTAAGCGTCTGGAAATGTATTTCGTTTAATTCAGTTATTTCATATCTGGCTTGTCATGTTTGTGTTACTTCATGGGAAAATAAAAGGTCGGTTGGTTCAGCTCTTTCATGTCTGGCTTGGAGGGTTTGTGTTACGGTATGGGAAAATAAAAAGTCGGTTAATTCAGTTTTTCCGTGTCTAGCTTATCAGGTTTATGTCACAGTATGGGAAAATAAAAGGTCGGTTAGTTCAGCTCTTTCATGTCTGGCTTGGCGGGTTTGTGTTATGGTATGGGAAAAATAAAAAGTCGGTTAGTTCAGTTTTTCCATGTCTGGCTCGTCAGGTTTATGTTACGGTATGGGAAAATAAAAGGTCGGTTAGTTCAGCTCTTNGGGGGGGGGGGGGGGGGGGGGGGGGGGGCGATACCTTGATTTTGCCGCGGAACCGGGGATATGGCAATTTTGTCCCCGGGTATGCATTTTTTTTTTGCAACAATGTTCCTTGTCATAGAAAACACCTACCCACACAAGGCACGTTGTGGGAGTGTAAGGTGAAAATGAAACAAGGGAAATGGCCTTGGGGCCCCCGCGGAGAATTCTTACCGTAGGGGCCAGGTCAGGTATGCCTGTTTGAACGGGCATTACATCACCTACGCAACGTTTTTTGTCCTAATTTCTTTTCAGGGAGTCGATATATGACCAAAAGAATGGACCAACTATGCATTAATCTCTTAGTTCTGGCTCTTTTCATGTGCGCAGCACCGCCGTACGGTCAAAAACGGGGTAAAATCCGTCCCCGATTTCAGCCAGGAAACCCGGGGATGTGAGGATTTTGTCTCCGGGCGTGGATCAATTCCATTGTTTTTCCTCAAAATGGATACATGTTGCAACAGACGCATGTATACAAAAAATCAGATCATAAAACGCTTCAGAACGCACGAACTCAGCCACAAAGCTCAAGTGGTCCTAATTGGGGGGGGTGTTTTCCACCATGTTTCGTTAAACACTGAGGTGCACTGCATCGGCTCTATCTCATCTGCCCTTACGTTTTTTTTTTAGAGAGAGGTAGCCTACAATGTACCCTATCGTCCGATAATTAAAAAAAATTGAAATTCGTCGTCACGCCCGAGAACGAGCTGTTGGCGTGAGAGGTGGTTTAAGCGTTCCTTAATTGGCCGGTTGACTCTAGTGCCGGTTGAACCGTGCCGCTGCCTTGGAACTTCGGCGGGCACACATTGAATTCCATGTCATGCGAAATTATTTGAATGGTGCCGGTCGCATTGTGTGAGTGTGTTCGTCCCAACTATTCAGGCGCCGGTCTACAGGCCTTTGGCGTATATTCCTAACGCATGACCCGTATGCAGATACCGTATATGACACAAGATAACACACCCCGGTGATAACATTTTGGAGTTTGAAAATACTATCACCGGGTGTGGTATCCTGTGGGGGGTGTGTTATCTTGTGTACCCCGGGTGACAAAGTGCAGCTCGCAGGGGGCCCTTAGGGGGTGTGATAAAACAGGGGGTTTAGCGCGTCCGAACAGCCACAGCGTGTGTTGAGGGTGTGATAAATGAGAGGGTGTGATAAAATGGGGTGTGATAGCACGTCCGAACAGCTACAGCGTGTGCTTTGGGGCGTGTGAGGGGGGGTGATACACTGCTTGTAGAGATGAACCGCTGCTGCCGCACACTTGAAAGGGTGTGGTATTGCGGAGGTGTGATAGCCTTGCCTGCACGTACACGTGCAGTGTAGGGACCTTACTAAAGGGGCGTGGAAAAACAAAGACAAGGGGGCTCAACTGAGGTGACGAAACTCTTGAGCACATGACCTCGGCGACAACTCAACCTCTTCATCACCACAAAAAGTTTGAAACAAAATACGGGCTTGAATCGAGCAAGAAAAAAATTAAAAATCGAAGGTAACTCGACCGATACGATGATTGGCGATGGCCACAGACTGCGCCACCCTTCCTGCCCCCCTCACAAAAACGTTGCTGCTTGCCTTGCTTTGGGTACGACCAAAAGACACCACGAACCAGAATCAACGACCACAAGCCGCAAATCTACACTGAATACGAGACGCAACAACGTTGCACTCCACGCGGCGAAGAAAAAAGCCGACAGTTTCTTCACACCCGCTCAAAGACGACGGAAGGAACAGAAAAACACGTCAGGAAAAACCCGAGGATACATGAAAAGGACACCACAAGCCATTTTCTCAACACCGGCATCGCTGCCGATGCCTCACAGCTCCGCGCCCTCGTCGTCGCTCACGCCCACCACCACCACGCCCGTGTCGTCATCATCTTCGATGTCCGACACCTCCAGCAAGTTCTCGCCTCCGGACGACGAGTCAGCCTTGTCCGCAGCGTCCGATGGCGCGCCGATGGGCTCCCCCTTGGCGTTGGTACCGAGCTCCTTGTTGGCCCAGGCCTCGCCTTCCGACCCGTCGAAGGGCAGCAGCAGGCCAGCCTTTCTCCAGCTCGAGCGGATTTCATCTACNTGCCTCACAGCTCCGCGCCCTCGTCGTCGCTCACGCCCACCACCACCACGCCCGTGTCGTCATCATCTTCGATGTCCGACACCTCCAGCAAGTTCTCGCCTCCGGACGACGAGTCAGCCTTGTCCGCAGCGTCCGATGGCGCGCCGATGGGCTCCCCCTTGGCGTTGGTACCGAGCTCCTTGTTGGCCCAGGCCTCGCCTTCCGACCCGTCGAAGGGCAGCAGCAGGCCAGCCTTTCTCCAGCTCGAGCGGATTTCATCTACGGTCAAGGCATCCCACGCCTTCTTGACCCACTGTGCGACCAAACCCCGCGAAGGGGGCTCCGGGTAGCCGCGGTCGTTGCGCGTGACGTCCTTGGAAGCCATGTGGTCGTCGTAGAGCCTGGACTTGCCTTGAAGATCTTGTTGACCAGGCCATCGCACAGCTGGAGCTTTGGAGTCAGGCCTCCCGGGATGGAGAACAGCGTCGTGTTGGACTCCTCCATCGCCTTGGTAGACGCGTCCGTCTTATGGACGGTGTAGTCGTCCCACGCCAGACGCGTGTCAGGCTGACGGTAGCCGCCCCGGGTGCCGGTTCCACACCTGCGGCACCCACCCGTCGTCGAACACCCGCTGGGAGGGCCATCCCTTGGGGTCCACGGCGTAGGCCATGCCTCGCGGGTACGCAGCCTTTCCTGTCCTTGTAGTTCTTGAACTCGCGCTCGATGCTGTTGGCGGCGGGGGACTTTCCCTTCGGAGTGGGCTGGCCCTTGAAGATGAGGAGGGGAGGCAGCTTGCTGCCGTCGGCGAACACCGTCTGGACCGAAGTGATGCACATCTTCTCCTTGCCGCCGGTTTTGACGGCAATCTCCTTCTCGTCCGTGGCCTGCGGGATTTCGTAGAACAGCGAAAACCGACATCAACGTGGGGTGCGTGGAAACGGCTTCTGTTGTCAAGATTCGGAAAGTGGCAGCAATGGTTGCAAAAAACATGACCAAAATCAGAGAACAGGAAACGAAAAAAAAGACGCAAACTACCCATATGTAGATAGTTCCTCACAAAAAAAGGGGGTGGCCAAATAAGCGTTCACGGAGGAAACGATAGGGTTGCTACATCTAACGCAGTACGAGAAATAACTTGGGCAAACTAATGCTCACGTCCACAGTGTCCTTCCCCGGGCTCTCGAATCACCTAGGGGTTTCGTCCATGTTGCCGATCTGCGCCAAGGAAAACTTGAGACGCGGCCCCGAAAGAACACCAGCGCCACTCCCACCCCCGCTGCCGCTCGCGCTGCCTCCCGCCCCTGCCACAACCCCCAGGCACTCGACTCCGTCCGCATGTTTGAGCGCGGAAGGCACGTCGTACTTCAGCCTCCTGCACTCCTTGATCGCCTGCATCGGGTGACAGCTCGCACAGAGGAGCGGTAGACCCTGAGAAACCTTATGCACCACTGGTTCTGCCTGGTCCTGTACTTGAGGGAGCCTGAAGATCGGATGGCGCCGGCCTCTCCCCGAAGAAGTTCGGATTGAGTTCAACGTCCTTGTTCTTCATCATCTTCGTCGAAACACGGACGGACATGCCGTCAGAACGCAGCTCGTTGATCCAGTCCAGGACCTCACGCTCGGCCGCCGTGTGCGTCCTGATCCGTCCGACGTTCAGCGACAAGCGGTTGTTGGCTCCATTCTTGCGCTTCGCTCCTCCCTTGAACGTGTCCGCTTCCGCCAGCGCGGCCTCGTACTTGGCGACGTATTTGACCCACGCCGCCAACGTCGCCTTGTCGGGAATCTTCAGGATCCTGGTCGCATAGGTTATCCCAATAGTCCCGTTCGGCCCTCGCGCCCCCTTGATCTTCCTCTGTGAGTACCTCACCTCATCCACCTTCCTTCAGAGGGTAGCGCTTCCTTTGGCTTCCACCACCAAGCTCGGGGATCGGGAAGTTCGGCGGCTCTAACTCCAGCTTCCCNGAAGATCGGATGGCGCCGGCCTCTCCCCGAAGAAGTTCGGATTGAGTTCAACGTCCTTGTTCTTCATCATCTTCGTCGAAACACGGACGGACATGCCGTCAGAACGCAGCTCGTTGATCCAGTCCAGGACCTCACGCTCGGCCGCCGTGTGCGTCCTGATCCGTCCGACGTTCAGCGACAAGCGGTTGTTGGCTCCATTCTTGCGCTTCGCTCCTCCCTTGAACGTGTCCGCTTCCGCCAGCGCGGCCTCGTACTTGGCGACGTATTTGACCCACGCCGCCAACGTCGCCTTGTCGGGAATCTTCAGGATCCTGGTCGCATAGGTTATCCCAATAGTCCCGTTCGGCCCTCGCGCCCCCTTGATCTTCCTCTGTGAGTACCTCACCTCATCCACCTTCCTTCAGAGGGTAGCGCTTCCTTTGGCTTCCACCACCAAGCTCGGGGATCGGGAAGTTCGGCGGCTCTAACTCCAGCTTCCCTTTCTTCCTCTTGCCCTTGTTCTGTGCCGGCGTACCAAAGAGAACGCCGCCGAGCCCATCTCCCCACTCTGTCTCTCCGGGAAACATCACGGCGCCGGATGCAGCATCGTTGGCCACTGGCGCTCCTCCCGCTGCCGGCATTGCTGCTGCCGGTGCTGGAGCTGGCGACAGTGCTGGAGCTAGCGCCGATGCTGGAGCTGGCGCCGATGCTGGAGCTGGCGCCGATGCTGGAGCTGGCGGCGGTGCTGCTCCTGATGGAGGCGCTCCGAGTATGCCGCTCACCCTACAGAAGACAAACGGAGACAAATATGTGCGGGAAGGCACGAAGCGGCCAATGTTGGAACGCACCGAAACGTGTGTCGTGTGGGCGGAAACCAAAGCTGTTTCTTCACAAAGAGTATGCTGATTGATTTTCGGTCGACAAGGGCACGGTGTCCAATGTTCCAAAAATCGTTTGGCGGTTGAAAGTAAACTTTAGGGTGAACAAAAAATGTGCAAAGCAGCACCATTGAAAATTAATCAGGGTGGTACGGAGATGCCAGCTGCAAACAAAGCTGCGACATTTNAGAACGCCGCCGAGCCCATCTCCCCACTCTGTCTCTCCGGGAAACATCACGGCGCCGGATGCAGCATCGTTGGCCACTGGCGCTCCTCCCGCTGCCGGCATTGCTGCTGCCGGTGCTGGAGCTGGCGACAGTGCTGGAGCTAGCGCCGATGCTGGAGCTGGCGCCGATGCTGGAGCTGGCGCCGATGCTGGAGCTGGCGGCGGTGCTGCTCCTGATGGAGGCGCTCCGAGTATGCCGCTCACCCTACAGAAGACAAACGGAGACAAATATGTGCGGGAAGGCACGAAGCGGCCAATGTTGGAACGCACCGAAACGTGTGTCGTGTGGGCGGAAACCAAAGCTGTTTCTTCACAAAGAGTATGCTGATTGATTTTCGGTCGACAAGGGCACGGTGTCCAATGTTCCAAAAATCGTTTGGCGGTTGAAAGTAAACTTTAGGGTGAACAAAAAATGTGCAAAGCAGCACCATTGAAAATTAATCAGGGTGGTACGGAGATGCCAGCTGCAAACAAAGCTGCGACATTTCCACGACACACAACGCCATGCAGGAACAACAATCATACACAAAAAACAACTTTAAAATGTGTACAATACAATTGTACAATACCGACGAATGGCCATTAAAATACTGCAAACGAAACAATTACGAAATGGGCATGCAACGACAGAGTCATTTCCCGGGAGCGTGGGGAAAAAAAAAGCCACATGCACACAAAACAACTTACAAAATGTGTACCGGGAACGTGTGGTTAAAAAAAGCGACTGCACACGAAATAAACCTTCAAAATGTGTCCTGGGAACGTGTGGCGCAAAAAAAAAAAGATAAATTACACGAACCCTGGAGTGTGCGGGTGGTGCAAAAGCCAACCCACAATTGCACGTTTGGAGACCACACGCGGACTGATACTACGTCAATTCCACGAAGCACATGAACACTCACTTGGATCGTTCTTCCGTGCCGACGGACGTGCTGGGCTCCTGGTCCACGACGTCAACCACAAGCTGAGATGCTTGGCTGGTGTGCGTTGACTCGTCTGCTGCGGTACTCATACGTGCTGCAGAGAGCAAGAGAGCAACTGGCTGCTGCTGAGGCGATGTGGGTGCGGAGGCTGTCATGTTGGCGCCTGTTGCTGTTCCAGCTCCTGCTGCTGTTAGATCAGCAGGAGCAGGAGTAGGAGCCTCGTGCGTAGAAGAGGTGTGCGCGGGCCCAAAAAAGGAGGTGATATNCTTGGCTGGTGTGCGTTGACTCGTCTGCTGCGGTACTCATACGTGCTGCAGAGAGCAAGAGAGCAACTGGCTGCTGCTGAGGCGATGTGGGTGCGGAGGCTGTCATGTTGGCGCCTGTTGCTGTTCCAGCTCCTGCTGCTGTTAGATCAGCAGGAGCAGGAGTAGGAGCCTCGTGCGTAGAAGAGGTGTGCGCGGGCCCAAAAAAGGAGGTGATATGCTGTGGCGCCTGCGCTGCTGCAGTCGAAGCAGTTGTCGAAGGAGCGGAGGTACTTGCGGCTGCATTCTGCTCTGCCTGCACGTTCATGTTGTTGGGGTTCTCCATGCGGGGTGTTTCCCCGCACACAGCTGCCGTGGTTGTGTGTGTGATTGCCCAGGGCAGATGCTGTCACCCTGGTGATAAAAAAGGAGGGGCCCCGTGTCTATACGCGGCGCAACTAAAAACATTACCGGGGTGTGTTATCTTATGTACCCCCGGTGATAAAGCGGACTTGTTGGTCTGCCCCAAGGAAGCACGAGGGAGGCTGCTGCAGCCAAGAGGTATTTCGGAGGAGATCTATTTCTTTGGAGGAGATCTACTTGGCGCGGGCTTCTGGGGGCATTCACATATCGGTTGAAACGGGAGGTTTGAATCTTGGCGGCTCTCGGTTGCATCAAATTTGGGCCATGTCATCCGAGCACAAGTCGCCGGAGACGGAAGAGCGCCTTGGTGTCGTCCGCAGTGAAGGATCTACTGGCGGTCAGGTCGAGTCGGCGTTGGGGACGGGAGGGGGTTCATTTCCTCCGTCTCAGGTTGTGGCGGGCGCTATTGCGGCGGCCGCGAGGGCTGCTGCCGGTGGCGTGGATTCACCAGCAGGTGGCGTGGCTTCAACAACGCAATCATCCGCAGATGTTGGTGTTGCTGAGGGCAGTGCGTTTCCGACTCAAAGTCATGCTCGGGCCTTGGCTTCCAGCGGGGACCGCCAGCCGGAGCTCGGGCGTGCGGATGACCAAGTCCAGGCCCACGTCATGTCTCGTTTGGCCCATATGTCGGTGGGTGCTGCGGCGGGGGGGGAGCCCAGCGAGGGCACCACGCTCGCGTCTGAGAATGCGGAAAAAATCGCTCGTCTGGAACAAGGCCA